TGTAATACATTTGGTTCTAGTGAAATAAAGATAATTTCATATATTTTTGATTTCAGAGAAATACGTTCCAGTCTATCATGGTCACAGACGGCAGAAGTTCTTTCGTCATCTTCCTGTACAATGAAATCCACTGGACAACCGGAACTGCCAGTGGAGGAACCCAAGACGGGCTTAACGGAGTAGCCGCTCAGGTAACCATAGCAACATCCATTTTATGTACTGTAAATAGAAAATAATGGAGGTGATAAAATTACTGAGTGAACAAATGAAGATGTGAACTTTTCGTTCTGGACTAAAAGTGATTTTTTACTGGAGTAAACAAAAATTTCCCCATGCTCACCAATGGCTAATGAATCCATTTTTACATTCAAAGTAAGCCCCTGTTTTTTTTTTCTAAAAAGTATGTTTTTTGTTATAATCTCTTAAGAGATTATAGCAGAGGATAGCAATCAATGGAGGTCACATGGTCTAAAGTCAAGCTCAGATATCAGAATAATAGCTATAACTGCCGTTTTGTGGTAAAACAGAATATATTATGTTTCTATGATTTGTTCACATTGTTTTTATTGTGAAATAAATGTTATAGTGAGGAATGACGACAGCAGTTTGGAGCTTTCGAACGTTTATTCACCGACTCCCTCTTCATACAACTTCACAAATATTTATAATCAATTTCTTCGTACTGATCACGCATTTACTTGTTTTCTTTTCCATTGTCTTTACGTGATTACAAAATATTTTTAAATTTTCATGTTGCAAGTCACTATGCAACATTTCTTTATTAGGTAATCCCTAAGAGACTTGTTTTCAATTAAAGATATCTAAAATATTATTTGGATTAGGCCTACTCATACTTGGACCTCATCCAAAACTCAGTTATCATGTGATAAATAGATGGTCAAAATTATTATATGTTATGAAATTAACCAATCACATTAACTGTTACTGACTTTGACCTTTTCCATCTTTTTCTGACACTAAAAACATGTTCTACACTTGTTGACTCTTGGAGAAACTTAACTTACACTCAATAACTCTCTGTCCTTTTACTCTTTTGATTCCGCTTTAATTGTTATCTGTAATTAGTAAAAGTGTAAGTAATTTGCTTTACAACATAAAGATCTCATACGAAGAGTTATTATTCCTTTCATGAATGAACGAATGTATAAGTACTTGAAATCGACATGTAAATTAATATCCGCTCGTTCTAACAGGTTGGCTTCAATGCCGGGGACGGGAAGAACTACTACGCCGTGAATGGGTCCCGGACCGGGGCCATCATTAACATCGGGTCCATGAGTAACGTGGGTCAGCCAGGAAAGTGGGTGTTCCGGACCGATGATCTTGACATCAAGGACCCTGAGTGCAACCTCAACGGTAAGTCAGAGTCTTTGCCCCTGCGAAAATTTGTCTCATTTAACAGTCATTACGTTTTCAATCTATTCTAGAACATTTGGTGTATTTTTTTACGGTTTTAATGTTGCTCTGTAATGAATGTAACAGTTCGAGAACCGTTTTTGGGAAGTCCTTCAGAATGTCCTAGAACAGATTACGAACATGTTTCAGAGAAAAACATTATGTTCTATGACAGATTGAGAACCGTGAGTGAGCGTTAAATGACACAAATTTGCGCAGGGGAGAACACCCGGAGGTTCAGATATCACTGGAAACTCGCCATTGTTATAAGCATGCTTCGTGTCCTGAATACAGTTGGGTATGGTGATAATAGTGGGGAGTGTCCAGTGGACTCTCGGGGTATATTTGAACGATTCAATAAGATATATTATAGAGGATAAAATGGCGCCGTTAGACGGCTTCACCATAACAACATTAGATAGAAGTTTGGCTTTGTCTTTGGACCAAATATTCGGTCTTCAAGTTGTGAAGTTTAAATCCAAAAAATTTTAGTCGACTTTAGTTCAGGATAGGTCAGCAATTGTCCACTATAGCCAACAATTTCTCGGTCTTAGACATAATTGTTTCTTTTTTTGATAAACCATGTTTAATTGATGTAAGATATTTACAGCTATTATTTGGCAGCGAATAATAAAATTTTTGATCTTGTAGTAATGGTTAGTGTTTCGTCATTTTTTATAAAACGAGGCTTCTTATAAAAAGATACAACCTGTTTTGCAAAGTATTTTCAGGTGTATAATAAGTGTGGAAGTAAACTGCGTATGGTTTACAAATTTCAACACTACTCATATCTTAAGATAAGGTACGTAACATTATTAACTGTTCCAGGCAAGGCCGACATTTCCTTAAACCCAAACAAAGTCCAGCTGAAGGGCGGTGACGTCATTTTCATCTCCGGTCCCTGCTTCAAGAAATCCATGGATATTCGTTGTCAGTTTGGCAGCGTTCAGGTGACAGGGTCATTCGAGAGCGTGCTGCGAGTGTCGTGTGTCGTCCCTCCCAACCTGAACCCCGGTGTCACCAACGTGGGACTGTCTACAGATGGCGGAAAGACGGTCACGAATATCCAGACGCCGTTAACTATACGTAGGTAGACACTGGAGATAACACCTCGAGATAAGGCTAGGCACGTTGTTTATCTGTATGGTGTTTAGTAACTGTTAGATACATGTAGAATAGAATGGGTTGTTCATCTGTATGGTGTTTAGTAACTGTTAGATACATGTAGAATAGAATGGGTTATCCCGCGTTATCATTTATGAATATTGATATCTTAGGAATTGATTCTGGCATATTTTGTGTTTGTGGGTGCTTTTTCGTGCATGAATCCTTTTAAAACATTACCACATTTAATATGACCTG